TTTTTTTTTTTTTTTTTTTTTTTTTTTTTTTCCTTTTTGCTGTTGAGTTGACACATGTTCCGTTTTGGTTTCCCTTTTTTTTCTCGTTCGCGCATCGCCTCTTTGGTCGATTATGCTAATACCATTTCCTACGAAACTCCATGTACCACCGTCCCCACCGGTAGTAAAAAAAAGGGCCCACGAAAAACACGTGACAGAATTTTAAAACAATGTTTGTAAAATATATGATAGGCGAAAAAGATTTGAAGAAAATGCATTCATGAACATTGTTTTTCTTTTCTTTTTTTTTTTTTTCCCCCTTTTTTCCGTTTTTTTTTTTGTAAGCGAAAAAAATGTCACGAGAAAATGAGATTTAAAGCGCGCTATGTTAACCTAGGTGTACTACTCCTGGTGTTTTTATTTTGCATGAACAAATGTAAGGGGTACATTCTGAACATAAATGTTGTGGATAAGGATGACCTGTTTATTTTTTTGTACAAAAATGAGCATTTGTTAGCGGCCAGTTACTACAATTTTAAGCCGTCGTATTTTTTCTCCGTCGAGGAAGGTACAAGCATGAGAGAGTAGGAGCCCTGGCGCACATGGGTGTGGTCCCAGATGTGTTGGCAGATCTGCTCCCCGCTCTACACGCGGAATACGTCAACATACTCCGCGCACGCCACTGTCACACTCACACTTGCACCTACGCATACGTATACACCTGCACATACGCATACGTATACACCTGCACCTACGCATACGTATACACCTGCGCATACGCATGCATACACCTACACTGACGCTCCCCCCCCCCCCCGCGCAGGCGAAATAAACATTGACATGACAATTGACTTCCGGGAGAACAAACTGGTGAAGAAAAAAAACAAAAACCAAGAAATATTGGCAAAGGCAAATAAAAACTCCATTAACATTCTGAACAACTTCAATGTGGACAGAGAGTATTTTCACAAAAAGGGAGTCACAACGAGCGAGGGAGACACAAAGGAGTCTCCTACCCTCACCAACGAAACATCGAGCTCGGAGTCGCACACAAATGAGTATATTCAAAATGAAGGAAGTACAGGGAGGAGCAACTACAAGTCGAATAATCTTTTCCTTGTTCTGATAACGGCGGACCAATGGCTCAATTACATTAGGATGAAGAACAAACTCGAGCCGTCCTTAAAGAACGAGGAGAATTATATTTTTACGTCTCATTTTAATTGCATTAAAAGATACCCATTAGAGGAAGGCACCATAAAAAAAAAAATACAAATTACCCAAAAGAACAGATATATGTTGTTCCTAATAAATAATAATAAATTAAAAATTGACTTGAAAGGAAATATCATTTTTTATGATTACAGGACAAAACATTTGTCTCATGATTTTCAGTTCATTCCAAATGTGCTTTACCTGACCACTTACATTTTGCTAGTTTTGGTTGTCATTCTTACATTATATTTTATTAAGTACCGAGAGAAGACGGACATTTTTATGATCCTCAATATGTTTTTTTTCCTCCTCTCCACATATTTTAATTATAAAAATGTGAACTTCATTCGGGAATGGGGTTACATGTACCTTTATTTCTGGTAAGGGGGAGACAGTGCCTGATCACCGTGCATACCCCTCAGCTTCATCCACGCACGCACGCACATATATATATGCTTATATATGTGTATCTTGTTTTATGTTCATACGTGTGCGTGTTTTTCCCTGCAGGGTGTCGGCAAACATTTTCAAGAAAATTCAAGAAATAATTTCCTTCATCATATATCTGCAGGTCTCCCTGGGTAAGGATGCACTCCTGCGGGGGGGTGATCTGTTCGCGGCAGTGTGTCACATAAGTAACTTGTTTTTTTTTTTTCTGCACGTTATATATATATATATATATATATTTTACATCCCTTTTGCCCCTCACCCAGGTGACATGTACATTCGAAGTCACCTAAGCCGAATAGAGATTCAGTTCATGATTTGTTTTTCCGTCATATCATTTTATACGGGCATATTTGAAATATTTCTGGGGAACTTCCAGGTATAGTGCGGCGTGCTTATCAGGCAGCAGTCCATTTGTGCGTATGAGCAAGCGAAGAGTGTTTTTCCATTCACGGCGTCCCGTTTATTCCGTCTATTCCCCACAGGCCCCGCGATACATACTACAAGCCTTCGCCTATCTGTTCATCTTCATTGCGATTAACTTCACGTCGACGTTCCTTTCGGTAAGTGCCAAGAGAAAGAGCGCGTCGCTTATTTTGAGCGCGCGGGTATTCTTACTGGCCCAGATGACCCAACGTGCTTTTCTCCCACCCCCGACCAACACACAAATCTATATGTGTTCACATTTTTTACACCGCTTTGCACACACACACACCCCGCGTACAGGCCCGCCTATCAGAAGAAAACTTATCCTTTCACGTCGCAGAGCTGTATAAGAAATATGACATTTATAAGTAAGTGGAGATGAGGCGCGTCGGGCGCAAAGAGGGGACCCCCCCCCCCGGCACTGCACACCACAGCGCAGCGCAGCACGGCATATATTAACCCTACTGTGCTGCTCACATCGTGCCCCCTTTTGGTCCTTCCCTGCCATCACGAGATGTTCTGCGCTCATGTTGTCATCAGTGCGACGCGGACTGTGCAAATGGGAAAAAAACACACTTTTCATTTCTCCCCTTTGTCATGCAATTTGTGATCCCCCTTGTCCCCCCTTGCTTAACAGAAAATATCGAGTCATATTCTTTGCCGTAATTCTGAAGCCCATTTTGTTGATTGTCTACAAAGTCCTGTGCCTGTCGCCGTCGAATATCGACCTGTACAGTTCGCACGAATTTTTGTATGTGTTTTTTGACATCACCTTCGACATTGTTTTATATGTCATAGTAAGTTAAGAAGAACGCGAGGTCGCCAACATGGACGGGGCATGTTGCGTTGGTTCATGCGTTTGTTGAAACGTTTGCTTTTCCCCTCTTGCTATTTCCCCTTACGCCTTGTGCACGAGCATGCGGTGACACATCTCCACTTTTTTTTTTTTTTTTTTTTTTTTTTATTAACCCTTGGTCTGATTTACCGAACTCCTTTGGTTAGCGCCCTGCATGGGCACCTCTCCATATGGCGATTGCTGCCGCCTTTTGTTCCCCCTCATTTGGAAAAGTGCGGGACGACCAAATGGAGACCCCGTGGCAGACGCACCTGTACCATTTGAGACAGACTAGCACGGCGAATACCCTCTTGACCCCGTTAATGTACCAAAAAGAGATATAAAAAAAACAAAAAAGAGGACAAGGAGAACAGTGTCCTTATCTGTGCGACAGCTAGCGCGGCCAGGGGTGTTGCTGAAGAGGCACGTGTTTTCTCACTGCACCGTTACCTCACGTCTTCCTTGCTCACCTCATCGGTTGTTGTCTTTTAATCTGCCCCCTTGTCCGCTCAGGTACAAACTCCATTTTCATTTTCTAAAACTGAGGCGTACGTTGAAATATTTAGGAAAATGTGTAATATACTATGCAAGCTCTTTGGGAAGGAGAAAAAGAATTCAGGTTTACGCTGACACAGATCATCTGAGAATCCTCCACTTGGCTTTAATTTCGTCCTGCGGTAAAGCCATCCAAATTGAGAAGATTGAAGTGAAAAAAAAAAAAAAAAATTTTTACATTCATTTGAAAGAGCGCACAAAGATAGGTGTATACAAATTGGTCATTTTCTTCTACTACCAAAATGGGGAAGAAAAAACGGAAGGCATTTACGCCACCAGTAATAGAAAATTAGTGAGGAAGAAAAAAAAATGTTGGGTGACCGCTGCTTCTGGGGGGAAAGACCCTACCGTGGAGGGACACAAAGAGAAGGGATTTTATTTTGTTCTTCCAAATGATGAGGCGAAAATTTTCCATTTTCATTTTAAAAAGGTAAAGTTTGAATGTAGAAGGAGGTACACATATATAAATACGTTTTGCGAATACTTTTACCTCCCTCTGGTATTTCCATGTCTGGTGTACAACAACCATAAGGCAAAATTTAGGCTCAAGGTTTCGTTTGAAATTGAGCTAATTGGAGGAAGCGCGGTTGAGTCAAGATGGGGTGAGCCCCCAATAAGAACAGGGGTGAACTTTTCTTTTACAAATGACAAGCACAACGATAAAAAGGCACCCACAGGGAGAAACACCCCTGTCCGTGTTGTAAGCCCATCACATTTGGTCGTCACCAATAGTAGGCTCAAGAGGGTGTATTACAGCCAGGAAGGCGGCGGACTCTACTCTTCACTTTGGAAGCATCTCCAGGGGGGGGCAAAGAGGCTGTGCAGAATCGCTTCTCAATGGAGGAGCACAGGAACATTGCGTGCGACTCTCTCAATGAGCAATGCGGCGAAAAAAAAGCACAGACTACACTCCCCAAGTGGTGGGGGGCATGCGAAAACACGATGGGAGTTGTACCAGCTGAGTAAGCGGCGGAAAAAACTCGCCACAACACCAACTGCAGGAACGAAATTGATAACGTACCAGTTTTGCGAGACGAGCAAAATTGCCACCTACACATTTTGCCTGTTCGCCGGTTTATACAAAAAATTAGAATTGAAGGTGAAAAGCATTTCCGTTTTTATATACATGGAAAAGGGAGGACCTACACAAAGTAGTCATGGAAAAAGCAGACAGGACTTTTTCGTGCACGTGGTGAAAGAAACACTAATGATGTATTTGAAGATACATGTCTTCCGTGCCAAGTTGGAAGAGAGTAAGTTCATCCAGTTCATGATTGTAAACACGTATAAATATGCAGGGGAGGAAAATCACAACTGTATCACTTTGTTGATCTCGCTGGTTGAGGGAAGTACACCCTGTAGAGAAGATAGAAATAATGTGAAGGTAGACTTTTACCAAAAGGTTTCATTAGTCAAACTAATTGTGCACGAAATTTTTCACTCCCTCTGGGGAAACTGCTTGTATTTTAAAAAGGCAAAATATTTATGGCTCAAAGAGGGACTTAGCAGATACTACGAATTAAGATTGTGTGAGTTTGTTTTATCTAAATTTAGTAAATTTGCTTGTTGTAGGTGGAAATTAACCCTGTGGTTTACTCTTGAATATCATTTTTATGTCCTCCTTGTGGACACTCTGAACGTGTATAACCACGCTTTGGACTTTGCAACAGGTGGAAAAAGAAAATGCAGAGAAGAAATGTACGCGAAGGATATTCACCATTTTTATAATGCACTAACTTACAACAAAGGAATGAACCTTTTCAAAATTATAAGCGTCATAACGCGACCCTACTTTTCCCTCATCATGAATTTACTCTTTTACACATTTTACAATCGTTCCATAAATTTTAGAAAATTTTTTAAATTCTTTCACTTTTTTTTTCGCCTTTTTCATGTGAAGCCATTTTTTCTCAACCGCAATGGGTATGAAAAGTGTGCACGTGCTGTGAAGGCACTCATTAGAAGGAAAAGAAAATTCTCATATCGTCAACACGATCGAGTTGTTGGTGGGGCGCTGAGGTCTACGCTCCGGAGGGGGCGCGTACAACGTGACAAAGCAGAACAGTGTGCGAGCCAGGAGACAGTGTGTGGCGCTTTCTTTACCCACCTTTTGAGCTCCTTTTTGAAGCGCCCCTTTAAGAAGCGCTTCCAGGCCTACTGCATAGAGGAGGCTATCAATCATGGAAGCAGGCCAATCCGAAGTTCAAAATGGAAGAGAGCTTGTGGGGTAAGGATATACAACAGAGGAAGAAAAAACAGAAGAGAGAAAATAACATCATGGGGGAGCGTCCAGTCACCAACCTTCAGAAAAATACCTCAAAAGGCGGTCTCTTCCAAAACAGAAGCCACTTCCAAAAAACGCAGTTACCCCTTGGAGGAGATAGTGCAAACATACATAAAAGCAGTTGGGCCGCCTAAAATATTTTTGAAGTTTTTTAAAAATAAAAATAAATTACTCATAACGCAGAAGCATTTCTACTATGACAATTACGAGCAGACATTTAAAGAGACGCATGTGCTTTTCCACGTGCCACTTATTTTCACGGTGGGACGTAAAGTGTACAAGGTGCTTTTAACGAGGAGGTATGCCCTGATAGATGTTCTAAGGGAAAATGAAAAAGACCTTTGTGAAACAAAAACGAATCAATTAAATGATGATCAAAAAACATTCACCATGAATTCAAGAAATGTCTCGTACTTTTCTTTCCACTTTGTTGATATATTTTCTTTTGAATTTATTTTAAATTCGATAAAGCATAACCTATGTCGTAAGGCGGACATAATTCACGTAATCACAAATGTTTTTCTGGGTCTTTTGGTACGCCTAAATAGTTTGAAGCAGGTGCGGCATTTAAACTCTTTGATTTCTAGGCAGGTGTTCTTGGTAAGTCAGTTTCCCAGTCGCCCTTGTGACGATTTTTTTTTCACGTGTATGCATATGCTTATAAATATGTACACCTCAATATGCCTACTTATATAAACAAAAAACCGTTCGTTTATTTACCCCCACCCCTACCTCAAGTTGTACAAACTTTTTAAAGAAACGAGACACACAAAGGGAGAAGTGCACACCGTTGGGATGATCCTATGCGAGGAATTCTTCAAGTGTTATGCCCATTTTAGCTCACACTTCACCAAAATTGAAGACCGGAAATTGAAGATAGAAATAAACAGGGAACTAAGATCCTGCGAAGAGTTCAATTATCTGCGTGACGAAGTTGAATTTGTATTTAAAGACTTCAGGAATTACTTGTCCAAGATTTTTTTTTTCTACAAGGAATCTATCAGTGAGCTGTTGTGATATGTGCCCCTCGGGGGTACAGATGTTCCACACGGAGAGAAAGGGTTCACACGGTTGAGTTTTATGAGGACACTTTCCACCCACGATGCGCAACAGCGGGGAGGACAGGGAAAATATTATTGCCCCATGTTGGAGATATCCCACAGATAGTTTTACGCAAAACGGAAAAAAAATGAAAAAAAAAAAAATTCCGTTTTTTTTCTTCGCAAAGGTAACTGATTTACACAACGATGCAGTCGTCACTCACCTACAGCGCAAATGTGAAGCTGCTTGTTTCGTCAATATTTGATATGGACCTGTCCGAGGCCGGCCTCGTTCGCAGGGTCTTCATGATGCTGTAACTTATGTGCCTCACTTGATTTATCTTGATGAACAGATTGCCCATGCCTCCGATTTTTTTCCCGTTCGTGAAGTAAATACCGTAGTATCCGTATCCTGTACAAGTGCAGGTGTTTTACGTAATTTTTTCTTCATTTTTTTTGTCATTTTTTGTTGTCCTTTTTTTTTGTCCTTTTTTTGTCATTTTTTTTGTGTGTCTTAGGGGTGGGAGCTCCCATTTCTTTCGCGCGCAAGTTGGCAGAACAGACCCCCATTTACCCTGCCGAAGCTCTCGCCTTACCGGTGCCCGTCAACTTCTGAATCAAATTTCTGCTGCTCGTGATAACGATGTAGTGCTTGCAGTCGTTGTAGGTCATGAGGCAATAGCTTATGAAGTTGTATATGTAGCTGTTGACCCAGTTCCTTTCTTCCTCCGAATTGGTACCTTTGCTGGACGTTATGCCTTCACGGGAGTGCCATAGCCCACGCGGTCCACGCGCGGGTGCACATGTAGCAAGTTGTACAGATAAGCAGCCGCGTAGATATGCAGTAGCGCATACATATACAGGTGCGTATGTGTACGCCTGTGGGCTCACTTGCGTGGACAAACCACATGGACCTTTACCTATTTCGCTCCGGATGTTGCCGTCATTCTTTTTCACGTAGGCCTTGACATACTTGGAAATGTCTGAAATAAAAAACTTGTGCATAATTTTCTCAAACTTTAGCTTGTCCTTCTCATTCTTCTCCTTGCAGTGGTGAGACAATTCCTCTGCGTAATCGTAGTCCACTTTTTCCGATCTTATATGCGCGCTGCGGGCATTGTGACATTCAAAATGTTCGGAGGAATCGTATGTTGGATCTGTTTCACACTTGTCACATTTTGTGGTAAACGATTTTTCAATGCTTAGGAGTTCCCACACACACTGAGACATGGTGCGCACGTGAGAGAGGAAAAGGGGGTTCTATGCAACTGGAGATGCGCCTAACAAGTTGTTACTGCTACGGAATAGGCAAAAAAATGGCCATATCAGAGCAGCTCAGGAAAGAGTCTATATATTATGAACAGGTCAGGTGGCTAGCTATTTTTCATTGTTGAAAAAAAAAAAAAAAAAAAAATTCGGGACAGTTTTTTTTTTTTATTTCTCGCAAACAGGCACTTTAAATGAATAATTCATCAAACGACGTGAAAGACAAATAGTCATAAATATTTTGATAAATACAATGAAAAAGTTAATGAGGAAGCAAAACTATTGTTAATTAAATGAACATTTGCAGTGTCCAATTTGCACACAAATTGGAGTGGGTGAGGGTTTGAAAAGGGGCGTGAAAATGTATAGAGAGGCGGGACATTGCAAATGTAGTTAAAGGGGTCCCACTTAAAAAAAATATAACACAAAATGGGATAGGATAAGATGGGATACACCATATGATAAAGGTGCGATAAGTTAGGACATTATGTGATAAAATGTGATAATATACGATAAGATATGCTTACATAAACACATGCACATTCGCATACACATAAAACGAACGTTTCAGGAGGCCTTTAAACTGTCCGATCATTCACAGTTCCTCGTATGTGTCGAAAAGTTGTTCATCGTCCAAATTGATGTTAAGGAATTGCTGTATGTCTATATTGGTATTGGTCTAAAAAAAAAAAAAAAAAAACACTCCAGTTGAACGAGGCCTGGAGCATGCTCATCGGCTAACTACTTAGCACTTAGCTGAAGTGGTGCGTTTATTAAAAATTCCCCATAATTTTGGAAGACGCCGTCGCTACTATTTATGCAAACTTATGCACTCTTTTTTATCCCTTTTACCTGTTCGCAAATCCACGAAATCATCCTTTCCACGGTCCTCGGTCCGCTTTATTTGATGGGCGCCTTCTTGTTCTCTTTCGTGTATAGGTAAATGGTGGGGTATCCTTCTGCGGCAGGACATGAACGGGAGATGGTCGAATGTGCACGTGGGTGATTTGGACGGGGAAGCACTAAGGGACATACATATGTACGCGTAGAAATGCGGATAAACGAAATATCGTCGCGCACACTGTGAATGAGGGGTGGAAGTGGCCTGATTTGCTCGTGCGATCCTCGTCTACTGCACATATTCACGACACATGCACGCATGTTACACCTCACCCCGCCCCCTACATCACTCACCGATGGGCACGTCGTATATCTCGTTGTTGACAGCGTCGATTTTGCTAATGACCACGTCGTTCTTATAGTCCTTGAATTGTTTTCTGTATATCTTGAGTCTCTTTCCGATTTCCCTATACACAGGCTCGAATTTGTAGCAATGGCCGCACCAGGGCGCGTAGTAAAGCACCACAACGTGCTTGGTGCTGTCAAACACGTATTCGTTGTAGGTGGCAGCAACGATTATTTTTATGTATCCGTGGTTGAATTCGTCGGGAAGCGCTCTCTCACTCTTTCGGTAAAAGTGCTTCTTCTCGTTGAGGTAGCCTTGGATGAACTGATCCATGCTCTGTGGGGGCGCATACGGGAAAAAGCGTGTAAAAAACAAAATGTGCATATGTGAGTAATTGCGCGCCAGGGTGTAACTCGGTTCGTGTGCACTTCAGTGTGTGTGTGTACGTCAACGCATATACTTGGCGCTGTTCTCCCCCTACCTGCTCATTTATGTCTATGTCGTCGCTGATGGGCTTGTACTTGTACGGAACGGTGATGTGATTCTTGAACTCGGTGATTCGCATGACCGGCTTTTGGACCCGCTCGATGAGTAACTCGTTGAGGAGCCTCCTCTCGTTCACATCCTTATTCCCCGACACAGAAAAGGTGATATTGGGGTACTTCTTCGCACACTTTATAATATCTGACTTGTTGAGGTCATTTATATCGTTGTGTAGGATAAAAAAAGTAACCGTATCATTTGAAAAAAAAAGGGGAAAATAATCTTCACAGAATTTAATAACCAAGGGTTCGGTTTTTTCCTGTAACCATTTTGTTAGTTCCTGTTGTTTTTCCTGCACGGAGTATTGAGGATTGTACAAATTGCCCACACTATCATCAATCAAATAAAAGTATTGATCAACATCATCATTTTTGAATAAAACTCCATACATGTCTTTGCCTTTTAAGTCTTCTAAATTAAAATGATATTTTTCTTGCATCACTTGATTTTCAAAGTATGAGATAATACTAGGGTCAGTAATGGAGAAGCAGAACGTATTCCCTATTAGGGTATATATGTGTACTAGCTCTTTTAGCAAACGGGTGTCCTTCTCATTTCTGTTGATAAAGAATAAAATTGAATTATTATACTCATCCAGTTGAAGGAACGTGTGTAATTTATTTTTATTTTCAATCGAGTATACACTCTCACCAAGGTATTCATATATCCAATGTATTATGCTTTTAATATGGTTCACTCCTTTGTACTGATGTTTCTCATTTTTTTTTAACATAAAAAGGGCAGGGTAACTATAAACAGAAAGTTTGTCAATTACAGTATTATACACAGCAGCGTTCATTTTGGCTACCTTTACATTGCCATCATATTTTAAAAGATTCGAAATGGTCTGTACATTTTCGAGTAGCGAACTGGATCTTTCAAACCAGTGTGTGTATACAATTAGGAAGGTAAAAATTTATCATCATTTAGAATCTGCTCCAGATCGGTCATGTCTACCGACATTATTCTGCTTTCCTGCTCTCCATCGTGGCTCGTTTTACATGTGTTGATTATGATTAGGATGCATAGTAGTAGCTTGATTATTTTCATTTTTTCCCCTTTTTTTCTGCGTTTTGGTGATAGGCACCCTGAATTTGTATAGTCGTGGTGGTATATTCCTCGTGGAGCACTTTTTCACCAAATGTGTTTTGAAGTTAATTCTTGACTGCCTAACACACCAGTGGGCGCCTCTCTATAAAGGAGCAATACGCGGTTCACATAGACATCCGTCCGCACCTCCCTGGGGCACACTTTTCCCGGGTCACTTCTTCCCCCCCCGGTCACCACCTATGCGCGATTAGCATATAAAGTACGATCGCGTCGAACTTATTTCGGAATGCACCCATCCATACGACTAACCCCACAGCATGGGGATGCGCTAACAAACTATGTCAGGTGAACCCTCTGTGCACTTCACCTTCGTGCCGCTACGCGACAGGAGAAAAAAATATATAGGCAAATTGGTCCTTACCCTTTTGGAAAATTTTCAGCAATGTTTACACAAATTATGTGGAACAAAAAAAATGTATATATATTTCTCTGAAGAAACACACCATGTCCGTTATCGCTACATGTCATTCATGGTGCAGTTGCTGCCCGTTTTATTTTGTTCTAATTTGTGTGTATCGTTTTATGCCACTTGGGAAAACCCGCATGTCATTCATAATTTCCGTCACGCGGTGTCTGAGAGTCATTTCATGCGAGTTTACCATTTAGCAAGGAAGGGAAAAAAAAAAAAAAAAAAAAAAAAAAAAAGAACATGGGGGGGTGGAAATGGTGTAAATCACCGCGCGGGGGCAGAAAAACGTGTTTAGCGGGGCACACTTGGCAAGACTCACATCCATGAGAACCGCACCGCAGACGGAACCGCGATTACTCAAGGAGGAATCAACGGGGGAAGTTCATCCGGAGGGGCAAACCTTTCCCCTGTTCAAGGACCCATCTTTAGTTTTTTCCATGACGCAGGAATGTCATTTTAAGACAAATTTTTCTAGTAGTAAAAAAAAGGGGGCAGAAAAGGGAAAATAATTCACCAAAATATGTGTCCTGTTTGACGGCAAGGAAAAGCGGCAAAAGGGGAAACACGCGAAAAAATGGCGGAAAAACAGGAATAAATGGAAAAAGGCTACCAAGAGGGGAAAATTCCTTTCGTTATTTCATATATACAGCAATTTGCTTAGATAAGCATTTGGATCCGCTGAGCGGTCGGGAAATTCTCAGCAGCAAGAAAAATACGAGCACGCGCAGTGAGCACCTTCATGTGGCGACATAAATTCGCGCCATGAGATGTTCACCATGGGGCAATTGACCATAGGGCAGCCGATCACCAAGCTTCCGCTTCGCCGGCCAAATGTGCCCCACACAATTCTGGGTACGTACGGATATGCGAACCTGTGCTAATACACACGGAGGGAACACTTGGCTGATGCGAACGCGCTTGTTCAAAATGAGCAGCACATAGGGGAAGGGGGGAAAGAAGAAGAAAAAAAATTTTCACAAAGGGAACAACGAAAAGGGGGAACACCTGCATATATACACATGAATGGCGTGAGTGTATGCTGAAGGCGGGGGGAACAAAGAAAGCGGGTCCCTGGGAACACACGTTAATGAGTTCCTACTTGTGTGTTTACTTCCACAGTGCATGCCGCGCGATTGCCCAGGGAACTCCACAGAATGCGAGGACTAAAAGAAGATCGCCCGCTTCGAACTAACCCTATATGATGCGGCTGATCGGCCTTTCTACATGGGCCCCCCTCCTCATTATAACCTGCAAAGCTTTGCAAATTCGGAACAGTTGCTTCATCCCTAGTTACCAAAATGTGCGTCCCATCGGAAGCAGCGGCGATGAACAGCTGTACACACGAAGCTGCTTCGGTAGTAATCGCCGCCCCAGTAGGAGCAAAACAGGGGAGCAGAACAAATGGATCGTGTTCAGCAAAGATGACGAGATAAAGGAAACAAGCAGACCACAAGAGCCGGACGATGATTATAAAATGGCCAGAAGGAAAAACTTTATAAAAAAGTATCAAGTGACAAGGGAAGAAGTAGAGGCCTACATAGAACAAATGAAGAAAAACTCAAGTAGTGGATATGAACCTCAATTTCCGAAGGACGTTTTTAGGACCCCAGATGGATTAACAAATGTAATTTTGGATTATAAATATAAAAATGATAATTTAAAGATTCACAATTATTACTCTTTTTTTATGTACTTTTTAAAAAAGCTAGCTGAGCAAGCGGAAAAAAAAAAAAAAAATCTAAATGAACCTAATGGACAAAATGGCGAAAAAGACCAAACGGATAGAGACCCACTAATTAGCGTACAAGATTTTCTCTTCCTAAAAAAGAAGGGATTCTTTGAAGGAGAGTTGTACACGTGGAAAAATTGGGTTCTTCTCAATCGAGGAGAGTGGGAAGATTACATCGGCTACGGAGAAGTAGACAAAGAAAAAGAATACGAAATAGAGACGCTGCGAAAAATGGTAGAGCCCAAGATGAAGAGAATGCCCATAGAATACTGGGGGAGCTTTAGGGCAATCGACTTTAATGTGAATCATTACCCGATTTACAAAAAGTTGTATGACTACTTTGACAAGATTAGTGTGAGTGGTAACGAGCCGAATGAGAAATTTTACCCCTTCCTTTTCTACCCTCGGTTCGGCGTGCGCAGAGATAGGTCCGGGCTGGGTTACGGGGATGCCCAGTTTTTCGGCAACTACGGGGACATCTACAAAAAGCGCGAGGAACGTTTGCGCAGGTTGCGCGGTGTGGGAAGCGTGGGCGGCAGCGTGGATGCTGGTGTTGGCCGTGCTGGTGAAGAGGGTGTGGACACATCGGGCGAGAGTGAAAGTGTGGTGCACTCCAGCGTGCACCGGGAAAGTTTCATAGACAAATACGACTTTGGGCCAAACGACATCAAAGTGGAGGAAGCGACAGACATAATCAAGTACCCACAGAACGGCAGGCTCTACCAAAAGTTCTACATAGGACCCCTAAACATAACCGATGGGCACACCTTTGGCACTCTATTAAAGTACGTCTGTCAGACTCAGATATATGGGTACGCCATAGTCGCCATTAAAGTCCACAATATGAACGAAGACACCAGAATTGACAACGTGCAGGAGGACCTCCTAGAAATTGCTCTCAATTTATCAGACGTGTGTATATACAGCAAAGAAATAAATGTTGAGAGCAACGTGCGCCTCATTTTTAAAGGACCCTTGATGCTAGTAGCAGGGATGATACCCATGCCGTCTCACCTACAAGTAGTTAATAAGGAGCAGTATATCTGCACACTGAAAGAAGATGGTTACTTAGACATTTCAATAAAAATTGAATATGGAAAAGGTCACTGGCTAACATACGAGAAAGGATTATATAAAAGGGAACTGGGTTCGGATAATGAATGTATGAAAAAAAGACCAGTGAAGGAAGTTATTGAGAAGAATTATATGCCTATAAGTGCTAGCTTTGGTAGCTGCCGTATGGTACGTATGGCTGTACATAAAATCGCTACTAAATATTGGTGTGAAGAGAGGTGTGAGTTTACCGACCCGAAACAAATGCTTGTAATAGAAATATGGAGCGACAATAGGATGCTGCCGAAAAATGTGTTGCTGTATGGAATTAAAAATATAAAAAAGATTTTGAGAAAGTTCAGGGAGATGATCATTTCCGACACAGACTTCCCATGCGATGTGGAGCACGAGGAGCTAAAGAAGCTGTGGCCCGCCATTGACCGGTACAAATTTTTGCAGACCAAGCAGAAGATGGAGGGAGGCCCACCCATCCACGACGTAGACGCGGACACTGATAGCAGCGGCGTGGGTAACGCGAGTAGTGAGCGCGACGCGCTGGAGCCACACAACCAAATGGGTAGCCAAAACCTGCTTGACTCATTTTCGCAAAAGCTCGTGGACCCGGACAATTTCCCCAAGCACTCAAATATCGTCCTTCCGCTGGAGGACACGCCGCCGCCCTACCTGGACACCCTGGAGTGGCTAAAAAGGGAAGTGAAAAAAGACAGAATTCGCAAGAAGAGGAAGAGTTCCGAGAAAAAAACTTCCAAAGCGTCTAACAGGCGTACCTTCGATTATGACGACTACCTAGACGACAGTTTGGGCGACATACTCGACGAGGGTTGACTGTGTGGAGTACAAGGCTGTAGTGATGAACACGTTGTGCTCTTCCCACGTTTAGTTGCCCTACCTTTTTTGTAATAACCGAAGCGGAGTGGATAATGCGCCATATTCTACATTAGTGCATTTCCCTCTTGTCCTATCATTTCTCCCTTTCGTGGTGCCCCAATGGCACATTATCTTCTATCCCCCAGAGATGCTCAAAAAAAAAGGGGAATCCTTTCTTGTTTATGTGTTGGAGAGGTTGTTAGTTGTCCACTTCCACCATTAGCACTTTTTCCCATTTTAATTCGAGCTTTTGTTAAATTTGAATTTTTTTTTTTTTTTTTTTTTTTTTTTTAAACAACCCGTTGGGTATTCCCCAATTAACGTTTCCTACAATCCATGTGGAAAAGAAAGCGTGAAACGAAACAAAAATAAAAAAAGAAGCAAGTGAATACATTGCACAGGGTGACAATGCGGCCAAGAGGCGAAGAGTGCCTCCACCGTTTGGCACATTCGTCAGCACACATGCGTACAGACAGAGAGATACACGTGGCCGCACGTGTATAGAGCCTATTTCCGTGCGAGATATAGCTGTACCCAATCGGGTGAACCAACCCGCTAGGTCCCCTGTTCCCCGTCCTGCAGCAATTTCTCCCATATGTATTTAAAAGCCCCCATTTTGGGCATGACCAAATTGATGTGCTTCTGGCCCTTTTTGTAATCGCCAGTTATCACCCAGTACGCGTCTCCGTAGTTTATCTTCCCACATAGCTAAATGGGAGAAAAAAAAAAAAAAAAAAAAAAATTACAAAATGGCTAGCTCAAATGTGTTGTAGTTGCTGTGCACAACTCCTAACTGCGTGAGATAAAACGCCGCTGCACGCTTCGAGTCTTTTCCTTTACAAAGGTCTACCTTATGATTTAGCAGAAGGACTTTGCTGCCACTCTTGAGGACTTCCAACTTGATGTGGTCATTTCCAAATTGAAAGAGGACATCTTTGTGATCGGTTTCTTCAGTGCGGCAAAAAAAAAAAAAAAAAAAAAAAAAATTACGCAATGGCTGTGTATATATATGTACGTATTTGCACACACAAACCATTTTGCACCGGGCTACATGGCTAAATCTTCGCCATTCCGTGAGGGGCAAATGCGTTCGCCCTCTGTCTTTTTTTTTTTTCTTCTTCATGACTCCCCCCCGCTTACCTTCAGAAATGGGGATATTTAACTCGAGGTGATCCAGCGATTCTCTCCAGTCAAACCTGCGCGGTGGAGGTAATGTTGTGGTGTGCGCGAGAGCTCTTTGTTCTCTTCGCTCTATTCGCAACATGCACAAAACAACAACATACAAATGCTGTGGCAGAAAAAGCGTAAAATAGTTATTCCTTACTGGTCAGCGTTGAGCAACCTACACTGCTCATATGGCATGTGCATAAGTCCCTTGTACTGAGGATTGTTTAAAAAAAGGGAAAAAATAAAATAAATGAATAACCCACATCACGTATCTATTTATGCACGCCTCCTAACCCATTCACGCACCTTCATCAAAGTCTTCGCGGTGTCCTTGAATGGCGTCTCTGAATTCTCCGGGTCTTTCATGGAGTTAATTTTATCCAAAATGTTTTTCATGTTTAATTTTTCCTCAGGATAATTCACATCGTCAATTTCATCAAAAGTTTGTTCAATTTTTTTCATCATGTTATATTCTTTCTTCACATCTTGGTTATCCTGTTCACTTAGATCTGTATTGTAAAATGCTTTTCTCACGGAGGTCTTAAGATTGGTGTCCGTGTTGTTAATTACGCCTTCCACATCGTGCATGTCCATTTGCTCTTCTGCTTTTTTCATCCCTTGGGCTTCCTTTTCTTCTTCCTCTAAGTTCCTGCGCTGTTGGGGTACGCCATTTGTATGGGGCGGTGAAACACACGTGGTGTGTCATCGCATATGTTTGTTTGGCCCGCTCGCGCGTGACGTGACGCTCCTACCCCTATGCGTGAGGGCTACACCTGCGTAATCATTTGGGACACGCACAAAAGCAGGAGCTAACGAAGCAGCGGATTTACCTCCACCTCCTTGTATAGATTCAGAGACTCATCCCCGTATTTCCCATCCTCTAGGTCTTTCACGAGATTCTACAGAAGAAAGAAAAGAAAAAGAAAATCCCAATGAGGGGTGGAGGGGGCTAAAATGGGGCGATGAAATAAATGCACTACGTCGAACCGATGCCACTTGTTTTGAACAAATAGACACATCCACGAGCACCATTTTGGCTAAGACGCAGTGGAAAAAAAAAAAAATATATAATAGTATTCCCCAAAACTCTCATACGAATAGTGCCTATTGCCACTTTTCCATTTTTACCTCCAGTTCAATTCCAAATGCAGCGTCCTCCTCTTGTTCCTTCTCTGTCGGGGTACATCTGATCTTGTTCTGCGTGGCCCCAGTGGGAGGCTTTCTCTTTCGAATGGGGGCATACAAAAAAGGGTCACATAACTGCCTATCTAGATACAACACGGAGTTGATTATTTTCCTGTTATGTGTCCCTTTGTGTGTGTGGAGGGAGTGTACAGAGTGGGCTGTCTTCCACTGAAGCGTGAACAGGGCGCTCAGAAGAATTATTATTTTGTTCAATAATTGCGGCATAATTTTCTCTGCCTCTGATGGCCTTGTTGTTGCCTTCAGAGGCATGTAGAGGGAAAAGATATACAGACCGAGAGATAAAATATGCAAGCGTTTACAAGTTAGTTTCACATCTCAGCAAGAATAGGGGCAAAGGAAAAAAAAACACATGCTGGTTCAACCCATCAGCCAAAGCATCTTACGCAGGATTTTTAAACAAAACGTTACGAAGCTGTCTCCTTCGTGCGTTACACTATTCCGGGTGAGACCATTCAAATGTGTGTATTTGGGTGTGTCGTCACGTATAGTGATGGTGCTGATTTATGGATATAGTCGAACCCTCTTCCTTTTCCTTTTGTATCACTCCTTCGGTGTTCCCCTTCCCACGATGCTGAGGGGGCTTCCTTCCCTTTTGGCATTTCTGTGGTTATTTAGATCATAACTATCCGCTGCTGTCCAATCTGCCCTCAACTGGTGGAAGGCAGCAGAGGTCGGGCAAGGGGGTTCATCCACTTGGGTTATTCGAAATGAAGGAAGTAAACTATCTGGGGATGGTATAACATAAAAAAAAAAAAAAAAAAAAAACAGAACAGCTATATGCTTTTATTTCTTTCTCCCTTTTTTTATACACCCATTGTGCAATTTTGATTATGCTCTCCTATATACGGAGTAATTTTACCTTTGTTCGTGGGCTATGTAAAGCGGGTCGCATCTGCACGTGGGTATTCGGCTGCAGGGAAGAGTGCACCCACATCGAGGGTCATAAAAAGAGGAAAGAAGATTTACCCTTTGGCACAACTGTGTGGATATTGGCGTCGCGAATTGAAGCGCCCAGCTTTCCATTTTTAAAAGAGAACCGCTTGTGCATTAAACTGACGGGGAAACACTCCCCTCTTGTAGTCCTTGCGCACGCGTGGGGGTGGAAGAAGTTATAATTACTGTTCGTGAAACTTTCCTAGCGCTGCAAAAAAGCAACTACACGTTTAGGGCCCTGTTCTGCGTTTTCATTTCTGACTTGTTGCAATTGCGTGTTGAGGCTTTGCGGAAGCTGGAAATGATTCGTTTGGCGTTACGAGGGGGTGAGTTTGTCACAACATACATATGCCATTGGGAAGGAATGCTGTTGCATTAACGCCCGGAAAAAGAGGAAGCCCCATCTGACCGCCAAAATGGAACCGCTGCACATCCCCCTGGGGGACGACATGCACTGCCACCTGCGGCAGGGCGATATGCTGAGCTTCACCGTTGGGGCAATCAAGAAGGGAGGGTGCGACCGCGTCCTCGTGATGCCCAACACCACGCCAATTATAAGCACCTGTGAAGAAGCCAAAAAATATAGAACTGAGCTAATCAAGCAGGACCCTACTGTGGACTACCTAATGACGTTATACTTGAACACAAAAACAGATTCAAATGACATCCTCAGAAACCACCAAGAATGCAATTTGCAAGGAGTTAAAATATACCCCAGTAATGTGACCACCAACTCGAATCATGGAGTCACAACCTTAGAAACATATTATGAAATTTTCCATACACTTGAAAAGCTAAACAAAAGTTTGCACATACATTGTGAAGAGCCCAATGTGAATCCATTATATGCAGAAAGGAGTTACGTACAACATATTCATGACTTGGCTGTCCATTTCCCCCATTTAAAAATTGTCCTAGAGCACATTTCTACGGCAGATATGATACACCTGGTTAGGATGTACCCGAACGTAGCGGGTTCAGTTACTCCACACCACTTGCAACTAACCATAGACGATGTTGTAGACACGCAGAACTACGATTATGCTCCTGATGTGGTAAATATAGAAAAACATATAAAAAATGTATATAATTATTGCAAGCCTTTGCCCAAAACGATTGATGATAAGGTAGCTTTGTGTAAGATTATACAGGAAGGGTTCCCTAGGATTTTCCTTGGATCCGATTCTGCACCCCATTATAAAGAGCACAAAAATGACCCCCACTATAAGCCAGGAATATACACACAGCCATTCCTCATGTCGTATGTCTCTCACATTTTTAACAAAATTAATTCATTGGACAAGGTAGAAAATTTTGCCTGTAAAAATGCTGCAACTTTTTTAAATTTAAAGGAGAAAAAAATAGGCACAAATGAACAGACCTTTTCTCTTTGTATACAAAAGAAAGGATTCAAAATTCCTGATGAATATTTTGGCGTCGTCCCCTTTTTGGCTGGACAAACAATTGATTTCACTGCGTCCTTTGTGGGTGCAGATGTATGACTTCGCTTCTTTGCTTGAGAAGACACTTGTCCTGGGCGGGAGTCAGTCAATCGGTCAGACCATTCTTTTACACATAACCCAACCCCAATCTCCTCCCACAGACACATCAGATCAATTTCGTTATATCATTTATTCAGAATGCACGCTGGGTATTAATTCTCTTCTTTTGCCTGAAGCAGGGGAGTTGCTCCTAAGCTCTGGTGGATCTTCCAATTTATCACATGCAATGTTTTCCCTATGCTAATGCTCTGTTTATGTGCAATTAGCAAAATTGAGGACGCAGCCACGGAGGAAGTGGGGCGTTTCAAGATGAAAACAAATGTAGCATATTTTGGAAAATTATATCGCTTTGCTTTCTTAGCACCATTTCAATTCATTACTATCCGTATGACTTTATTTTGCTTCTCAGTGGGATTTAATTCGTCTCCTTTGGAGTTTCCTTTTGGTAGTGGTTGAGGGTCTCCATCAAAGACGAACACTTTTTCCCCATCTTCCATCGTCTGACCACTCGAGTTATTACCTTTCCTCGCTTCCTTCATTGCACCCTCTGCGCTTTCTTCGCCTCCATTTTCCCGCATGGAAGCTTCAACAGAGACAGAGCTTTTCTTCCCCTCTAGCTGCAACGCTAAGGAGGGTGTATCCTTTTGTATGTACACGTAAGTCTTGGTCCGAGTGTCGTCTCCTTCATTTATGTTTAAGTCTACGTACGTGGTGCCCTCATCTCTTGAAAGGAAACTGGCCACAATAATTAAGGCGAGCGAAACGCACATTGTTATGATGCTCAACATTAATGAAATATGCACAATTAAAGTTTTATATTTTCGAAGACCGATGCCATCCGTGGCCAAACTTAGGAAAGAAAAATGCATCGCCATCTTTTCGTGTATTTCCAAAGGTCATCATTTTGATGAAGTTTATAAAGTTACGTGCTAACATGAGCCGTAGGTGGTGTCTTACAACAGTTGTGTCAACAATGTAATCCCTCTATTTCGCGTAAAAGCGGAGACCTCTAGCTACATTAGAACAAAAAGCAATGCACAGTTTACCGCTAACCACTTCGAATTAGTGGAGCGAATGATGTGATGAAAAACAAGTTGGACATCGGCGCTTCGGAAAAGGAACCAATCACCATAATATGATACGGAGGGTGTGTGACATCAGTTCGTTCCTACCACCATTTCGCGCGTTTACCACGTTTATGCATGTTTGTATTTTTTTTTATGACAAGGTCAGGTAATTATAGCCAAAAATTGTCTTAACAAAAAAAAAACCAAAAAAAAAAAGAGCTAGATAGCTAGCTAGCTGCTTAACTGTGCTCACATATGAAAAGAGTTACATAAACACATTTGTGCCAAAGGGGTAAACTGGCAGGGGGTCCCTACGTTGGGCATAAACAGTTGCAGCAGTTGTTACAGTTGTCGCGCTGTGTAATGCAAAGCAACCCTGCAATGTTGAAATGCCTTTCACGCCTTTGTCATTATGGTATGCATTATGATAACAGCGAATGTGCTTGTCCTTCAAAGCATTTTTTTTCTCTGCATTGCGCAATGTTAAAAAACCCTTTGCGGTCTTTAACCTGTAATACGGGGTTTCGCTCCACATCTTGGACAAAATTTTGCAAAAAACAAGGGACGTTTTCCAAAGGAAATGCGCGAATACAAAGTTGCTGTCCCATCCCAACAATTGGCAAAATTAACCTGTTCACACTTTTAAAATTGCACACGTAAAACAATTGTAATGTTATTAAAATTACAACATTAGAAATGAAGGGAAACAAAGAAAAAAATAAAAAAACAGGCGAACGCACGTCTTGCGGAAACGTCTATGTAGAATTCCCATTTTCTGAACAAATTATTTTGAAATGAATATGATAGGAAAAAAAGGGGTGGAGAATAGATACCTGTCGTTCGCGAACGAATGGGGCGTAATTGGTGACTTATAAGAAAACACGGTGTGGTACACGTATACATATACGTGCAGACATGCGCCCACATACCGACACCCTTGCGGGCAATCCAAATGGTGAAACAAAAAAAGGTAGCAGCACCATAAACTTCATACCGCCTGACAGACGCTAATAGACCGTTCACATATGCTGCATTGGTCAACCGAAGTAAATCGGGGGGGTCTCCTTTTTCCAGTTCATGTCCAAATCCTCCGGCATCGACTCTGCACAATTATGTTCCATGCTTTTCAATTCTCGGAATATTTCACTTAAACGAAATACATTTTGCTGCAGCTCTACTCGGTGCTTTTCATTCCCAACGATGAAGGATAAATTATTCAAGCTGTCAATGACACTGTTTAGCTTACTGTTAATCCGAGATAACGTCGTGGGAGGCTTTAAAATTTTGGTCTCTTTATTTAGGATAAGAGTGTTGGCGGTTGCCTTATACCTATTTCTCTCCACATGATCACTTGCTACGTTGCTGTTGCCGCTGGTTCTTGCCAAATTTGGTACGTCCTGTCGGGCCAAATTTACTGCATCCTCTTTGCCCCCGTTCCTAGCCTCAAATGAACCAAGACAGCCGCCCACATTCGAACTGCCGTCCACCCCGACGCTGTTGGACACTGGTAAGTCATCCCTCTTCGAACACTTCTCCTTCTTCTCACTTCTCGCTTTAATTTTAAAAGATAAATCGATTAATATCCTTATGTTTTCTACGGGCGGATATTTAAAAAGTCTCTTCAGGCAATAATTCTCGTCGTTTTCTAGCAAGAACGATCTGATGAACAGGATCATGGAGATGGCAAAGTAATCCACCAAGGGGAACACATTTGATGTCATGTGGGCAACTTCTATGGTGTCCCCTGTGACTTCGGCGGGGAAACCATTTTCCCAGTTTGTTAAGTAGCAATCTGGAAGAAAAGAGAGAGGCGCACGCAAGCGGGTGAGGAGGGGGTGTACATTTGTCAGCGCAGCGGTCACATATTTGCCAGCACAAAAGTTACATATCCGCAGCGCGGTTGTCAAGAACACGAACCTGAGAAAAAGTTGTCCCACAGAATGACGGTGTCATCAATGGGAAATTCTCTACAATAGAAGAGACGGATCCACCTGAGAAGAAAAATCTGAGGCTCGATACTCAGAGAGATCAAATGATTGTACAATAATTTATCCAAATTTTTTAGTAACTTATGGAATATATAAGTACACTTGTGCACGAGCACGGTTTTGGAAGAATTCTTTGTTGCTTGGTTTTTTTTTTCTTCGGGGGAAGAGAATAAATATTTCAACCCCATGTTCATGAAGTGGTCAAACAGTATGTAAGTGTCTGCCTCGACCTGGTCCCTATCAAACAGGGTGACAAACTCGGTCCAAAATTTTTCACGTTTTAAATTTAGCATATGGGGGCGTACTTGTTCACGATAATTAACAATAAAAAAAATGGCTACTACTTCGTTCATGCCTTGTTTATAAGACACAGATGGATTTTTTTTGGCCCAGACGAAGAGAACTTTACATAATGTGTCTCTTACTGCCTCATTTTGAAAAAGTTTTTTTTCTGAGTGTGTTCTTAAAATGTCTTGTTTTATTTCTTCATTTAATTCTTGATTCTTCTGTTTTAGTGTCCATGGATTTTTATCATCCGATGACAGGGGATGAAAGATCTGGGGGTCCAACTTTTGAATATTTAAGTTTGACTGCTTTGTGATGTATTCGTCTTTGTCCTGCTTATACAAATTTCTTTTTTTCTGTATGTCCTTTGTTAGTTCGTGTAGAGTGGTGGCGTGGTATATTCCTATTAGCAGGGGCCAATATATTCTTCTAAAGAGGACCGTACTAGGTTCGTTGTTTATAATATCATTGGCTATGGACCGCATGAAATTGTGCCTTTCTTCCTGGGGTTTATTCTTTTTCTCTTCCGAGGATTCGGCGAACTCAAGTGTCGCCGCGCTGTCCTCTTCATCGTTATTACTTGTTGGTATTTTTTTATCATTTTTAAGGAAAATAAAATGATTTAAAAAGTCCTCAAATTTGATGTCATGTAAATCTTCCAGAAAGTTATGGTTATGCATTTTTTTTTTGTTTTTTTTTTTAATTGGGCTTAATTTGCGTTGCTCATTTTTGTTTGGGGAATTGACTTTGGCAAACGCAGCAAGTAGTTCCTGTGTGAATTACGTGTATGTATAGGTTGAGGGGGCTTGTCATCTTTGTGTTTATCCCGCAAGTCAGTAAGCTGTCAAACGGGAAAGCTGTTTAACTGATAAGCCCCTAAACGCTAAAGCGCTCTACTTTTACCTCCTGCGCGCTACGATAAGGAGAAGGGGAAAAAATGATCAAGTGTGCACAGCGCTTGCCCTTACGCAGGAGAGGCTTAAGATGGTAAGGTTAAACTGACGGTCAAAAAATCCCATAGCACGATTAGCTTAATTCTTTGTCACATGCGCCAAGTTTAAGGGGGGAAAAAATGTGCCCACTTGTGTATACATGCGCAATGTAGTAGTTGATTTTTGTTTTTTTTTTTTAATTTGACATTTTGCAAAATCGATTTTCAATTTATTATTTTCCCCCTATGTGCATAAGCACATGTGGAGGTGTGTACATAAACGTATGCGCAATAGGTAAGTGCCAATGTGCGCTGCGGCTTAGGCTTACATGAATGCTATGATAGAACTGTCTAACTCGTTTTTTTTTTTTTTTTTTCTTTTATAAATACGTCACTCGTTAGTGTTCTTCCTTCCCGTTGTGTCATCAATACACTGTGTTGCTTTCCTGTTTTTTTTTTTTTTTTTTTAACGATAAAATGACTAAGCTGTAACATATGTGCAGTTCAAAAGACTTGGTCAACAAATGACCAGAAGGGGAAAAGAACGTTTATTATGGGTACCATGTTAAGAGAACATTTAGCAATGTGAATATTCCACCCAAGCTTTTATTCAGAGTTACAATATTGGGACAACAGTTGATATGTAAGTGTGTCCATTTGTGTGTATATGTGCATAAGCCACTTGGGACTTCATTCTGCTGTATCGTTTTCATGCGGGTTAAGGAGAAGGTGATGGGGGAGGTTTTTCCTGCATTGTCCCACGTGTTCACAGTTTCTCCTTTTTGTGCAACTGTTCTACATTCTGACACGGTATAGTTGTCAACGAAGCCGATTCGTTTTTATGGACATTTGCCATATGAGAAAAAAAAATGCCTGATGGGTCAGGTAAATTTGTGCGAAAACTCCCTGAACTGTTGAGAAAACAAAGTACAAGAGCGGGCAGGGAAAGGGCATAATTAAGGGGTGAAGAAATGGCGCAGAAACAATGTACAAAACTTGTGCACACATTTGTGCGTCTTCCGGCAGAGCTGCGCCAACACGCGTAGCGCGCGTGCAGACATGCTGCCTAGCAGCGGAGAAGAAGATTGGTATCACCTGGTACTGTTAATCACTTGCCCTAGCCCCACAACATGTGCTACACCCATGAAATTAACCGTGAGGGCCACTTTTGAACGAATGACCTTTTCGCACTTGTTGAAGCTTTATGCAAATATTTACCAAAAATGTGTTTTGCGTTCTTTTCATTTTGCCAAGGTGCAAATGAAAGATTGTTATATTACATCACGAGGGGTAATATTATGAACAAGCAGGACATTTTTTTTTTTGTTTTTTTAAACTTAACCTTACTGCGTTATAACTCGTAATTTTGCAGCCCATTTTTTTTCTTGTTCTTTTTAACCGCATTTTTGGCGAGGTCTTCAAGAAAGAAAAAGAGAAAAACAAAATGAACAGATTGGCAACTTTGAGAGTGAATGACCAGATGATTATTCCGAACTGAGCTGTAGCAGAAAAGTTACACAAGGGGAAACATACACACACACACTTTGTGTATGAATCAAATTATCGTTCGGGGGAAATTTTTGTTATATGTAAAATATATCCGCGCTTTAATTGGGGGCAGCAAGTGGCCTTGCTGTTATGGTATAAATCGATTGGTTTTAACAGTTGTGAACTTTGCCATTCTGTTACTTCTCTTTCGGGAGCGCAAAGAAACGGAGAGCCCGCAAATTGATTGTTCCTCCTGCGTGCGGATGTGCATGTGAACTGCCGGGATTACAAAAATAAAGTAAAATAAGGGGTGTACACTTTCCACGCTTCTGAGCACACCCTGCAGTGGTTACAGCGCTGCACGGAAAAGGGAAAACTCAACACGGGATTGCGAACGAATACGCGTGAGAACGCAGGGGTGCATGGCCCATCGACGCGTTTGAACATGCGTGAGGAAATTTCCGCCGCAACGCGAACCGAGGCACCCCTGTTATGGCTAAAACTGTAGCGCAAGGGGCACAAAAGGGAGTATTTCCACGCGCGCAGGTATACACATTTTTACAATACACGCACGCACGCAGCGCACTTTTGCGGAAATGTTTAAACGCGAGAACGCCTTTGCGCTTGAACTGAGGAGAGAGTAGAAAAAATTGTGAACCTTTTCTAGCTCCACGAGGGCTCATACTTTGCAGTTTTTTTTTTTTTAATTATTATTGTTATTTTTATTTTCTTCCAACCGAGGAGAAAAGCAGGTCGTGTTGACAATCCCGATGCACACTCTCACGCACGTGGGTTTTACAAATGTAAGGGGTACATTGTCACGACGAACAAGCGCGCGTCAATGTATGCTTTACGGATGCAAATATTTTGTCGATGGTTCAAAGCCAATTTATGCATTGCTATGTGATGATTACAACGCATGTGCTTTCTTCGCCATTTTTTCTGTTCGCCTTCTCCGTGATACTTACCATCCCGGCCCAACGATTTTTTTTTTTTAACCCCATTGGCGTTTTTTCGAGTTAGTTCTCTACCTTGTTTTTCACGTCATCTTTTTTTTTTTTTAAGAGCAAAGATTGGAGAGATAGCAAATTTTCCATTTTAATATACCGTTATCGCCTCAACAGAAAAATGAAGAGCGATACAAAATTGGACCTTTATGAAATCCTGGGGGTGGAGAAAAATGCTAGCGTGAAGGAAATTGCAAAGGCGTACAGAATACTGGTGTTGATGTACCACCCGGATAAGTTTGCCGCCAAGTGGGGTAAGGTTCCGGAGAAGAGCGAAACAGGCACGAATGAGAAGGAGGATGGAAAACTGGATGTACTTGAGAAGGAGACAGTGGACGAGGAGGCAAACGATGGGGAAGATGAAATTGTAAAGGGTGATGAGGAGGGCGCCCCAAAGAAGCAACAACAGGACGGAGATGAACCACTTACCCTACAAAAGTGCAAAGAAATGTTTCTTCAAATACAGAAGGCATACGAAATATTGAGAGACCCTGAGAAGAGGAAGAATTATGACGAGTTTGGATTAGAGGATGATGAATATATTGAATTTAAGAATTATTTAAACCCTAAATTATTTCATGAAAGAATTAAAGTAGAAGACATACTAAACTATGAAAAGAAATACAAGAATAGTTCAGATGAAAAGGAAGACTTGATCGAATTTTATAATAAATATAATGGAAATTTGACGCACATTTTGGAGTACATCCCATTCAGTGAAGAATCCGACCTGCCCAGGTACATAGACATATACAATAATTTGTTCAAGTCCAAGGAGATTAAACAAACGCCTGATTATGACAAGTCTTTAAAAAATATGAACAACATTGTTAAAAAGTATAGCAATTTGAAGAAGAAGGATTCACGAATGAGTAAAAAAAGGAAAAATTCTGTGCCCCCCCTTGACGATTTGGTTTTGGCAATTCGAAATAATGAAGCCAAGAGGACGTTAAAAATAAACAACCTTCTTTCAAACATTGAAAAGGAATATCAGAAAAAGAACCCCAAGAAGAAAAAGGTCAAGCCGCCGACGGAGGAAGAGTTAAAAGAAATTAGCAAACGGCTCGAGGAGAATAAAAAGAAAAACGCCGCGTCGAAGAAGTTGAAGACTGCGTAATGTGCGTGTGTTAAATTTTTTTTTTTTTTTGTTAACCTGGCTTGGGGAAGAAGTCTGAGTAATTAGGCGTCTGTGTTGGTCACTCGTCTCATCCTGCCCCCACGTATTAAAACAGGCACCTGCATGTGCGTTTAAATTTTTATATTTACTTTTGTTCAATCCACGTATATATTGTCATGTCTCTATTTATTCATGTCCACACCGCCGTGCTCAAGGCGTGTGTCCGTCTTTTCCCCGTTCCTTTTTTTTTTTCTTCTTTTTTTTTTTGTTAAATAGCTACATTTACTTATGATAATTAAATCAACAACGAGCTGTTCTTAAGCGAAAACGGACACCGCGCAGTGTGGGTTCAGGCTGTAAAGGCGAAAAATGCGATAAGGGGTGGCACACGAAGAGTGTCTTTAAAAAAAAAAAAAGTGATCTTCCCTTTGTAAGGGGCTATTCGCGTGTTACAGGATGTTTCCATTTTTGCGAATTTTGTAAAAGGTCCCTGTCCCAGGGGAAACTTTACCATCGCAGTAAAGCGGCGCGGTGCTGTAATTGTGGCAAGTCCCCATTGTGGCTTCCCTAAACCATGCGGCGCTTGCCCAATATTCTGCGCAACGTTTTGTCTTTTTTTTTTTTTTTTTTTTTTTTTTAACGGCCAGTGGGACAGACAAACACAAGCGCACAAATGTGCGGGAGGGTGAACTACTCATGTGCTGTGATGGAGGGAAAGAAAAAAAAAAACAAAAAAAAAAAAAAGATCCGCAAGAAATAGCGATACGTCGCAGTGCTCAGTTCCCTGGAGAGCCCCGCTCCCGCAAAAGGCGAAAATTTGTAAATGTCCCTCAACATATGGAGAATAATACGAGACCAGGTTTACACGCGATCCACGTTCGGTGGAATGTCAAGCCCCCTCGCCTTTCGCGTTGTTCCTCCTATGGTGTTGTCCCACGTGCCGCATAACATCGCCTGTCCACTTCTTAACCAAATGTGAAGGAAGAAAAAAAAAAAAAAAATGCGCGAAGAGGATAGACATGCGGAAATGCTCAAACATTACGTTAGGGAAGGAAAAAACACAAATTGGCACAAAAGTGAAAGAGCTAGAAACAACCCTTACTGCGTCAACTATGACATTTTGCTGAAAAATTATAAAGAGGAACAATATATAGACCTTAACCTGGAAGTTAATTACAACTTGGAGGAATTATTAGCTTACAAGGACAATATAAAAAAATGTTTTCATGAGCATAATAGAGGGAATAAAAATAATGTGCAGAGGAATAGGAGGAGTTACCATTACGACGATGGAGGTGGCTTTAGTTGCGCATCGGGTGACATTTCCCCCTTTTGTTATGACTCAGGGGGTACGAAGAAAGTTGCACGTGATAAATCTGACAGAGTGGAAAAACAATTATATGGACATGGAGAGTATACCGATGAGAGTCATACATCCGACTCCAGCAACAGCTATTGCTCAGACGTAACGGACAGTTCTTCAAAGTATGAAAAAACGAATGGCATGAATTTTTCCCAACGCATTACCTATGAGAGTATCATTTTGGAGGACAAGGTAAATTTGTTTGACACTGTGTTAGCCGCAGACGGGGTGAACAAAAATAGAAAAGGGGGGAAAAATAATGCTATGTGTCCTTCATGGGCTGCCAAATTTGAGGACAACACAAATATAGACGACTCCTACGTCAGGACTGAGCTAAGTTATGAAAACAGGGAGTGTGGACGGGAGGGGGGTCCATCCCCTTTCCATGCGGTGAGTAATTATCGAAGCGTAGAAAAGTGAGGCAGCCATCTTCGCAGAAGATATGCTTGCGGGGACTTCCCACAAATGAAGAAAAAAAAAAAAAAGATTATCTTCTATATTATCTCCCCCTTTTTTTTTCCCCCTTTTTTGCAGAGGGAAAACTCCAAAGGGGTGTTCCCTTCGATAGACCTGGATGGACACCCATTGAGCAATATAAAATTTCACAAAAAATATACCCATCCAACTAGCCAAAAAGTAGAAGAAGAAATCCTGAAAAAATATGAAAAAATAATAAAAATTATGAAGTACTTAAGAAGAATAAAAAATAAGTACCCTCAAATCGAAGCAACCATTTCGATACTATCCAATCATATTAAAAATGTCACATTCAATTGTGAGAAAATGTTTGATTCGAGACAAGAGATGAATGATTTCTTGAAAAAAATTTACATTTACCAGATTTACCTCCTTAAAAGTAAGGTGGCGTATTTACGCCTTGAATAGGCAGCGCTGCAAGCGGCATACACAGAGAGAGCAATCTGACGAGTAATGTTTCCGCCAGTCTGTGGCACATACGTACTAGAATACCACGTTAAGATCAACTCGGTTTTGTCGATGTGCTTTTTGCCCCTTTTCCGCAGAAGTCGTTTTTAAAAACCCGAGGGATAGAACAAGTGGCGTTTCCTTCAAGTCCAGCTTTGAAGCTGCGTCGCCGCAGGATGCACGCCTGGACTCGAAAGAACGATCAAGCTTCAGGTTACTAACGCGGATGCACACATAGACACATGTGCATGAAAAACCGCACTGGAATTGCGTCCCCTTTAAGCAACCCCACAAAATAGGAGACGCAAAAAAAATAAATAAAAGAGTAATTCCTTCACCGAAGGGGTCATATTAACCGAGAAGTCAAGTACGAAATGGAAAATAAAGCAACTCCTCTCTCTCCTCTCCCTACAGGGATTATTCGGAAGTCCCCGAAGGCATCAACAGAGATGCCCACTTCATGATCCAGCACTTGAGAGAAAACAGACCTGTAAAATCTGCAAGCGGGGTTCCACACGAAAATGTTCATGATGAAAGATGGGCTAATTTTAGTAGCGTGAGAAAACATGAAGGAAGGACACCTAATCCATTAAGCAAAGACACACAAAGAATGAGCGGTATAAAGAAGGAAAAGAAAAGAGACACGAGCTTTACTGAAGACACAGAAGAAAGTGACGTGTGCAAAAAGGGAAAGGGAAAAAATAAGAGTAAATATAAAAGTAGAGAATCATTTAGGGGACAAGAAAAAACAACACAGGACGATGATCCTTTGGGGAGTGAAACAAACTCGACACATTGTTTCACCAATCTGTATGGAGATGATGCAGAGAAGACGTCCGCCTACTACGCTAACCTTAGGCATACATATAGGGAAGCCCTAAAAAACCATATACACACAAGTGGGGAAATTTTTCAAAGAGGAAAAAATAAAAAACAAAGTAGAATAAAAAAGGAACACATCCTACATGAAGATTCGCTGAACCATAAAAATGCCTATCGCAAGAGTAAAAATTTAACCATGTCGGATGATGCAGATGTACTGCCTGAACAAGAACACGTAAGGGAAGAGATAAACAAACAACCACAAGGCTGGGGGAATAAACGGGATGTCCCTTTTAACACACATTTGGTAGAATATGAGTCGAAAAAAGAAGACTCGGGGCAACCTTATAAGTGTATTCCCAAAGATAACGCAAACAATAGGGAATACAGGGGGAGAAGCACTTTAAGTGACGCCTTAAAAAATGATTACTTAAACGTTGTAGATGTGCAGAAGTGCGGGCCCAAATGTGGGGACCCATATGGGCCATCCCTAAACGCGCTTAATTTAGCAAGGACGGAAACGCCCCCGTGGAGAAGTCCATCGAAAGGGGAAACGGGCAGAAAGGACACTGTCAGCAAGGACGGGAACAGCCAAAAGACGCTTGTACTCTTTTATGACATAAATAAAGAGCTAAGTGCCATCTCGAACAGGGACTCTGTCATACACGCGCTGAAGCATGCGCTTCTAAACAGTAAGGAATGAGTGCGTGTGGGGGTGATGTAGTAAGACGGTATCACCGAGTCAACGACTGCGTTGTAGTCCGCATATCAGTCGCAAATAAACTGCAGATAAGACTCACCCCCTGCATGTCCCTACACCACCGCGTCTCCCCCGTCAGAACCCTACAACTTCAGCGCCCTGCAAAATTTCCTATTCAAAATAAACGTGGAGCTGGTAGAGTACAAAAACTTCATCCTGCTGCTAACTCGGAACATAAAGAAGCCACACATGGAAGCCCTCTATGGCTTAAACGATTTTTCGGTGTTCGAAAAGGTAAGCAAGTTAGAAATAGACAGCATAGCCGTGTAATAAATATATATATTTTTTTTAATATTTATTCGTTACTGCCAAATGTGTGTGCATATGCTGCCGCAGGTGTATGGGAAGAAGAGGGCGCCCCGATTTTTGGTCTCCAATAAGGTTAAAACTTTTTACAAGTATGATACATTCTACCGAAGATTTAAGGAACTCACAAATGTGCGCGATTTCAGCGGGATAACTGACGCAGTGGAGTTAATTTAAGTGTAACGGAGCGGCGAAGGGGGACGTTCCTTGAGTGAATTTCAAAGCAGGTAAATGGCTACGCATTTGAGTGGGCACTGTTTTTTTTTTTTGTGAAGGAGACCCTTCGTGTGGGGTTGCACCAAGTGGGCACTCCGGATGCCTTTTTAAAGATGGGAGTGGCAAAGGAAGTGGTGTAGGAGGAATAAACAGGATAAAATGACCAAATGGATAGACAAATAGGTGAACATAGGAACAGACGCGCGGGCGCACTTATCGCGGCTTTTCACGAGTGGGCGTCCCAATGTGTGAGCAATTCCCAAAACAGGGTTATCCCTCCCTGCCAGCTTTGGTAAAGTTCCCATCCAAAAACCTTATAAATGAGACACAAATGGACACATACGCAGGGATGTACCTATACATGTGAGTATAATATGCCCTCGAGACAACGACCCCTTTGTGGCAATTCCACGTGGCACGCGCTTCAACCCGTAGGGAAATCCACCTAGTGTGCATTTTACCCAAACGAAGAAGAGGCAAAGGGGGATCTATCTTCGCCTCTTCATGTTTCACCGTGCACCCTTTTCGTTTTTACTGTCCACAAACAAAACAACAATTGTCAATTTCTTTTTAAAGATGATTATTATTTTTTACGTTAGTTTTTGGTCTACCTGTGATTTGTGTTTGCAAATTTTTTTTTTTTAAAAACATTTTAGCTATTTCACAAAAAAATTATTTTTTGTTCAGGTTAAAATAAGAAAAAAAAAAAAAAAAAATTAGTTTGATTTTTAAAAAAAAAAAAAAAAAAAAAAAAAAAAAAAAAAAAAAAAAAAAATGGCTAGTAGACAGAAGAAAAAATAAATAACGAAAACAACGAAAAAAAAATAAATGAGCACATTACCCATTCGGTGAAGGAAATTCATAACGATAAGATAAAATCGGTAGATTCTTCTCCCAATAAGACGAATCAAAATCCAGAAAAAGACATGCCATTTGTCTTTATAAATTGTGAAATAGCTTCCGAGCTTACAGTCTCTAGCCATATACGTCAAGGTGAAGGAGATTTTTTCAGCAGTAACATGAAATGCAATAATGCCAAGACGAAATTTAAAAGTTACGCATTAAATGGAAACACTCCAGATGCGCAACATAGTCAACACTCAAACAAATTAAAGGAAAAAAAACATTTACACACAATAATAAAGGAAAAAATCCGCAAATATAGGATTTGTCACAACGGCGAAAGTGGAAACTATTGTCACTCGCCAGAAAAATTCAACAACGAATGCTCCCAGGAAGATAAGGGAGTTGACAAATCCGACAAAGCAGGACATTCAAATAATTTTTTTTACACAGATCATCACTCCCTTCTGCATTTCCTGCGGCAGGAATATTGTGGCCACGATATAACTGCACGAGAAGGGATTCGTCGAAATGTCAAGGCGGATGCAACGTTAGGGCGTTCAAAGTGTTATAAAGATATACACAAGGGGAAATTCAACAGCATGACGCGCTTAGAGTCCGCTTCGAATACGGCGGATGACTCGATCGAAGCGTTGCCGCGGGGTGGTGACTCCCGTGGTGAAGGGAACAAGACCGGCACCGCTTCCCATGAAGCGAAACCAAGTGGAGACACTGGCAAGAGGGAGGACCGCCAGGACCACTGGGCAGTTAAGCCTCCGCAGGGGAATGGCAAATCGAACTGCTCTCAGCGCGAGAAGAGTGAAAACAGGGATCATCCCAAGAAGAACAGCCAGCACGCTGAAAATATAATCAGGTGCAACGACGAGGAACTGAAAAGAAGTCTTTATAAAGGAGACGGAGTTAACCTTGTTGCGCGGATGGACAGTTCCTCGCAGAAGTATCAAAAAAAGGGGCGCCCTATGTATCGCAGAAATTGCTACAATGTTAGGCAGAGCAGCATTAAAAGTATTGTAAATGGTAAGGGTGCATGCCGTGATACGAGGGAGACGCTTAGTGAAGCACACGAAGAGGACTCGAGGGTCAATGAAGGGAAAAGTACGTCGGAGGGGGAAGTAGACAAGTTCAGTGGCGCGGGGAGAGGTTCCTCTGGGGAGGCACCTTCGAATAGATGTGATGATGAACACGATCAACAGGGCAGAGAAAACCACAACGCGGAAGAAGGTAAGAATGAGGAGAATGATGTGCAAGACACGGGAAATGGTGAGGCACACGATATGGGAGATATTTCGGGAAAGAGCCTGGACGAAGGGGAGTGGATAGAAATCGAGCAGCCGCTCAATTTCTGGGATGCCCTGAAGAACAATTTTAAGAACGTCTTTTTGGTGAAGTCAGAGGGGGAGGATGATACTGGCGATGAGAAGGCGGCAAATGGGGGGGAACACGTTTTGGAGGGCGTACCAGGGGTGGAGAACGAAGCTGACTCAGCCAACTCAATCAACCGATTCGAGCAGTTTACCGAGTCCGCCTCGCACGCCGCGCTTACCGAGGGGGCCCCCCCGTGCTCTGCGCCCACAAACCAGTTCCCACTCTCCCCAGACGTATACGTGAGGTGCCTAAACTTCCTGAGCGCGGATAAAATACTAGAGTGCGAGTTGCTAAACAAGCTAAGCACCTACGTGATAAACAACCGAAACAACGTGTTCACCCATGTGAAAAAGCTAACTCTGGATGAGAGGTGGTCCAGCATCCCAATATACAAGAGGCAGTTTTATCTACATCAAATGAAAAACATCAAGCATATGTACACCTCGGAGAAAATTTACTCAGGCAATGGAATGTACATTCACGAAGTAGCTGCAATTATATTTCAAAATGTGTCAAATTTGAAAACCTTAGAATTATTATCACCAGAGTATTGTATGAATGACAACACTCCAAGACATGAGCCATTTGCTCTATCTCCATCAGTTTTTTCAAAACTGGAAAAGTTAACAATAATTGGATGTCAAACCTTGGAGTGGCTACACATTTTGCGTAATTGTTCCTTTCCTTTGTTAAAAAAATTTGAAGTATGCTATTATCCCCTCCATCACGATCACTGGGTGTGGAAGTTCATCTTCGATTTTACTCTCTTAGGGCTACAAGGTTTGTTTAAAATATTATACACCATGGAAAATCTGCAAAAGTTGAGCATAGGGTTTGATGTGCTGTTTGACAACATCGAAGGGTATCTATACAACCCTTTGGAAAGTCACAGGAATGTTTTGCAAGAATTTAATTTTGTTACAAACAACCAGAGGTATACAAATGCCTTGTCTGCTCCCCCAGCGAATGGGAACCCTTCCAGGAAGTTTAAAAGCTACCGGGGAAAAATATGCGAAGAAGATTTTAGTGACATTTTTACCATTGCTTATTACATCTCGGGCAAGTGTGGGAAGCTCAAAAGAATTATGATAAAGTACAGGGACTCTTATGATGGTTATGAGGACAATATGGATAAAGACGAGACGCTGAACGAGTTCATTTCGGAAGCCACCAACACGGCGTCCAGTTACTACAACTATGTGCTCAACTGGTTTCGGTCCGCGGGCGGCGCAGCGTCGGAGCGGAGCTAGGTAGCTACGGGGGAGAAGAAGCGTGTCCGTTTGATGCAATGCGGGGGAAGCATTATATATATTTTGGCTGATGTGGAGCGAAGAAGAGATGTGTACCGGTTGATGAACATTGTGTGGGGGGGAAGCGCCCGGCTTCACCAGATGGGATGATCCCATAACTCGCACCTTCTGCTACGCGATCTGGCTCCCCCGCAGGTGTCATTTTTGCCCTACAGGGCCTGTTTTCTGGGGGGCCTTCCCCATCCCCTCACGTACACAGTTTTTACAAGGCGAGTGCCGTGTCCTATGTGCACATCGCCATTTGTTTTCCGCACGAGTCATTAGGCGAAGAACCGCCTACCGCTTGTGCATATATCTTAGTTCATTTTAGAAGCCGGCTTTTTAGCTCACTTGGGTGAATGACCAAACTGAGCAACTTAAGCATATGTGGCATAAAAAAGTTGGCGAGCACACTTCGCATGATCAGCTCGCTTTATTTATTTTATTTTTTTTCTCATTTGTGCTGTCCTAATTCAGTTGTCTCATTGTGATGTTTTTCGTCCCCTTTTCATTTTTTTAATGTTAACCGTTGTGTTGAGCCCATGGTTTGGCACACATTATTTTAAGACGTCCTGATTGATTTAAACACCTTTGTATTCATTTTAAGCACCTGTTTTTTTTCATTTCTGTAACGGTAAATTTTCCCATAGAGTGTGCGTACATGCTTGAAGAAAGCAGTGGGGAATGTTGAAGACAGACCCTTATGAGGAATTTGATAGTGGTTTCCTATGCTCCCCCATTTAAGGGGGGGAAGCGAGTAGAAGGGAGATGACATAATGGTTTGATGCAACCCGCTACAGGTATGCAGTTAAGGGGTTGGAACAAAGTTTTCCAATAAAAACAAACACAGAAATGGGTGGGTTCGCGTGCAGGTGGGGTGGAAACAGTGGTGGTGGGGATGCTACGAACGCGTGCGCATTTTCACATATGCACAAGGAATTGAAAAAAAAAAAAAAAAATGTAGAAGAAAAAGGGACGTTGTAAACTGCGACGTGGGCAAGGCACAAATTTTCCAAACATCCTTGCACACCATTGGGCATGTGCATGATTGAGCATGTTAAATAATTTCACATGAAAAAAGGGGGGATGAAGCAAATGGGGGAGGGTATGCCCAGTAGGCGTTCGGCCAAGCTGTCCCAATTTTGGGGGCTGCAAGACCGTCACAAAATTGGCGGTCGTTTTTGTTCCACTCTGGCTGTTTCAAATGACGGTTGGAATTTGGCCCAACTGGAAGGGAGCACCAGGAGGTATCTGCAAATGCTGCGGGGTTACGGGTTGCCTAAACTTTATCTTTTCCACATGAAGAAGTGGGTAGTAAATATCCAAGTCGATATCCTGTTGGTCCATTTTTTGGTTCATATTTATATTTTTCAAAACGGAGAAGGCCTGTTGCATATTTTGCTTGGCGAATATTTTATTGTACAAATCTGTGTCTACGTCAAAACGGCTTTCCTTCTTGCAGTCCTCAACAGCTTGCATATAGAAGGCGACATTATTCGAAGACATAGAACAGGGGAAGGTATAAATGGTGGACCTATTCTCATTGTAACTGTTTAAATTATGGCTAGCTATTTGTTCCAAGGACTTTAGAAAATTTTTATTGAAAAAAAGAATTTTTTTCATTTTGCCCATTTGGGTAGTATCTGTCCCCATACCGTATTGCTTTATGTAATTTTTTTCAAACATAATTTCGTTTTCGTTTGTAAATATAAGTTCCTCCCCTTGGAGTTCATTTACACCGTTTGATTCTTTTCCAGAATTTTGTACCGAAGTATTATTCATTGCTACATTTGTGTTGGTGTTATAATCGGGGACGTTGCTCATGGGCAGGTTTCTATCTGCTGTGTTTATTTGGCCTTCCATTCCTTGTCCATTATTTGAAAAATTTACACTTTGCATTCCCATTTGTGGCGTTCCCGCCCCAGTAGCTCCACATACGTTGTTATTCCCAATGGAAGGGTTGAACCCACCGCTCGATAAAAGGTTCTGATAAGAGGACATGTTGTTCCCACCTATTACTTGGTTTCCAAAGGCCGAGTTAGCATATGTGTTCATGGCTGGTGCTCCTCCGCTACCGTACATGGAGAACTGCTCGTTCTGCATATTTTGTTGCAAGGGGTTACAACTTTGGGGGTAACTAAAATTGGCTGCGCCAAAGGCATTGGATCCTGCGACCCCATAGGCACCTTGCGTTTGGGGAATTGACTCCATATTGGCGCCGAGGTTGTTTTGGTTGTATGCATTTCCCATGAGTTGGTTCCCCGGTTGGTTCCCAGGCATGTTCATGCCGTTCACGCCGTTCATGTTTCCGCCTGCCCAGTTGGTGGACACCATACAGTTGGAGGGGTTCATACCAAAGGCGGCCCCTCCCTTCCCATCGTAATTATAATTCATGTAGTTTTTATCAACCCCCTGTCCTGCCACATTATGCACATTGGTGTTATTCGGTAAGTAGCTATTACTGTGCTGCTGAGTTGGAGAAGCTTCCATCAATTGGTTCGGATTCCTCGCCCCTGCAAAGAGGGGCTTCCCTTCCTTTAACCTATTTCCAAAAATTGATTTGTCCTGACTCACAAAATCGTATAGACTAACACTTGGGACATCAACCCTCGTTGCGCTTTTCACATTATTGCCAAAAAGGGGGGTATTGTTTTTTGTTTTGTTTCCAAAAATAGATACGTTTTGTTTCACTTGGGAAAATAAAGCTTGGTCGTTGTAGTTGGGTGCATTTTGCTGTTTACCAAAAAAGGATAGGGGGGTGTTGTTTTTGTTTTGGTACATGTTGAATCCACCTTCGGCAGGAGACATAGGGATGCCACTCATTGCACCTTTAGCTTGGTAATAATTGGGCATCTGTTCCATCGTGGGTGTGGGCCTTCCGAACGAGTCATTACCATACATCACGCTCCTGTCGCCAAATCCTTGCTGGTTGCTAACTGCGTTTACTTTTTGAACGTTGTAAAAATCGTTGTTACAGTTTTGGAGGTCCCCATAGTTATGCTGCCGTTGCTCATTGTTGCCAGTGGGTTGAAATTGGCCGCCCCCCGTAAAGGGGCCATTCCCCTGGAAGTTCATGCCCCCTTGGTATTCATTCATTTGATTTACCCCTCCGTTAAAACCATTGTTGTTTAGCATTTTTAGGGGATTTTTCCCCCTGTGGGCGAATGGCGCAGAGGGAGTGAAAAAGTGGGGGGGAGGGCTATATATACATATATATACACGCCTGCCACACTTGGATGTTCACTTAAAAGAGTAATAACAAAAAGGGGAATGGTTTAATATACTTCTGGATTACATGAATAAATTGCCTATACGCATGTGAACGAGTTAACATGTATATAAAATACCACGCCGCAAAAGCATCAATCATTCGATCTACATGCTGCGCTTTTATGGCATTTGCAAGAGGACCCCACGTAAACCTGTTTCCCTACTTCGGCGGGGAAATAAAAAGAAGAAAAAAATCGGCGTATCCTCTTTTCACTTCATATGGGGAAAAAAAATCTCTTTTTGGCCGCGGGCGGAGGCACAGACTGAGATTTACTTAAACGAGGCTGCCTCTTCGTGTTCCTTTTTTCCGCATTTTTCGCAGTGCCCAACTCTGCGTGGGGTTTCAAATGAAGGCCGCGAGAAGGTGCACCACGCATATGTATGTACATATTGAATATATATATGGGTATAATATACGCGCATATTTTGGGTCATGCAGAGCAGCGCTCCTTTCGGCATTCTCCACATAATGCTTTTTTTTTTGTTTTTACAAGCTCGCAACATAGCTATTCATATATGAATATACATTTATACGTATGTTCTTTTTTTTTTTTTTTTTCCCGATTTGGTAGATTCAAGAAGCGATGTCTCCTGCTCTCTTCACCTCTGTGATTTTTTTCATTTACACGTGGGGAGGCAAAACAAGCTGCGCTAATTGATGCCGCCTTTGCGTGAGCACGTATATATAGCTTCGCTCTGTTTATTTATTTATTTTTTTTTTTTTACGTTGTATGTCCCCGTACTACAACAGCTTCATTTCCCTTTTGATGTATTTTTTTTTGTACGGGAAAATTAACACGCTCCACAGGAGTAGCCAAAATTTACAACGCTTCCTTCCTTTCTCCCCCCCATACACCAAATGGTATATCTACTTCGTGAAGAATTATTTTGAAACTGCACATTTGGACCGTTTTATGGGCTGAACGTTTTGGCTCAGGAGAATGCCGCCTTTGGTCTGGCCCCTTTGAGGTGTGGCTCTGTGAGTCCCCTTTTTTTTTGTAGCACACTTGTAATGACGCCATGTTTCGAAAAGGAAGAGTTGTTAAGCGTACCGCTGCACGCGGTTCATCGTTGCAACAGCTGTCTTTGCGAACTTGCCCTTGAATGGCAAATTTTAAAGAAGCGGTTACGTACATGGAACTGCGTCAAAATGTGTCTACACATGTCGCGTATACACATATATATCTGTGCATATCCACTGTGCGCATGTGGTTCCTCCCTACGTAGTTCTACGGTTTGTCCTTTTTTTTTTTTGGTCGCGCACACAAGGAGGCCCCCATGCGCGTAGGCCAGTTGCCCCTTTAAAACCCTCAACTGTTGAAGAAACAAAAGAACAACCTTGCGGGATATATATAAAAACTACGTTACGATTTTCGTTCGCGAAAAAAAAAATGAGTCGGCGTGAAAAAGAGTTGGTTTTTCATTTTGAAAAAAAAGGAGAATGTCAACAAAATAGTTTATGATTTCCTGTGGTTGAAGCAAAGAATGCAAAAAGGGAAAAAGTGCACACACATATGTACATATGCATAAGTGGGCTGCCTTCAACTATTTACAACTATATAAATCGCAGCCCCCTTTTTACGTCTTTTAGAGGAGCGCAATTATGCACACCCGTGAGTACGTGTTGGGGAATGACTGTTGGTGAGGTGCTCCTTTAACCTTATTCAAAACAGAATATTACCCACGTGATAATCACTTCTTCGAATATGTCTGCGGCTGTTCCGGCGCTGTCGTCATTTTGACGCCATTTCATCTGTCTTCGTCTTCTTACTCTTTTGCTCACATCTTCTATTCCGCTGCTACCTCCGCTCACCCGGCGAGCACCTCCTTTTCATGTTCTTGTCTCCTTTTCATTAAGTAATAGCTTGCTGTTTCCTCCTCGTCAATATTGTAAAAGAGTAAGCTCACGTTGATGTTCTTTTCTATTTCCTCGATTAATTTTTGAGCTGCCTCTTTTATATTGTCAATCTGTGTGGAGGTGGAAGCCAGGAGTCCTCCTTTGCTCGTTGAGGCCACTTTGCTCAGCAGCAGAGATGTGCCCTTCAGGGCGGCTAATGAGCCCCCCGTTTTGGCGAAGGAAAGTTGAGTCAGGCCAGTTTTCCATATTATCGGAAATGTAGATGATAACAGCAGGGGGATTTCAATGGTCATTTTGATGATAACGCGACTTAACGGGGGACCTGATTTATGCGAGCGCTGTTAGTACGCGCTTTGTGTGGTGAATGACAACCAAAAGGGGCAACTCAAATAAAATTGTTCTAATTTGTTTCTCCACGTACTGTGTTTTGAGAAGTGTAAAAGAGATGTCGTTAATGTATTTTCTCCAAAATGAAGCCATTTTAAGTTTTTTTATTTTATTTTTTTTTTTTTTTGGTGCATATTTTTACATGAACAAAATGTAAAAAAAAAAAAAAAAAAAGCTAGCTGTAACCCCGGGGGGATAAGCGGTTGCCGTGGAAAGGAACTGACGCCTTATTTCCCCCTCCTATGTGCAGGAAAAATATACAAGCAGGTAAATTGGAACATATTTTATACATACGCACTTGTAGAAATAAAGCAGTTTGGCACGTGGAAATGAGGGGAACCAACAACTCGCAACAGAATTGTGCTTACGCGACAATGCTGTTTTGTTCAAGCAAAAATGGAAAAGTCGCATATACCAAGAACAAGGGGGTACTACCAAAAGGACATCTCCAGAAAGAGGAAACAAACGTGCAATCCGTTTTATAAGCATAAAATTATCCCCCCCCTTTTTTTTTTCTTTTTTTGGTTTTCTGTTTTTGATGGTTGCTTAGTTTAGGCGTTGTCTCTCCCGTGTTTGCAATTACGTTTATGTGGGGGAGAAGAAGGTTATCCTTCAAAAGGGATATTGTATACAAAACATTTGCGTGTGGTGTACGCGTATGATGTGATAATGAAAGAAAAAAAAAAAAAAGCACATCCATCAGGCTAATCTCGCACGTGGACATGCCAAAAATATTAACTTTAAAAAAATGGCCAAAATTACAAAAAAAAAAAAAAAAAAAAAAAGAGTGATTAGGAACAACGACGAGGTGCAATAAATAGGGAGAGAGGATTACATCAGATCAACCACTTCACCAAAAAAAAAAAATGTGAAGGCAATTTCCTTTGTCGCCAAATTTATGCACACACCTGCTGGTCCTGTTCGCCTTTGTCCACCTCGACGTGAGCAGCATCCTCACCCTCCTTCGCAGACTGTTTAACTTTCTGCCTCTTAAGCTTATTTTTATAGTAATCAATATAAAGGGTGTTAATTTTCCTCTTGAATTTCAGAGCCGCGATAGCAACTTCCTCACTCCTGTGATCCATAAGTTTGTAGCACACGTCAAAGATGTTGGAGCTGCTTACATGTTTTAAGCTAAAGTGGAAGTTATTGGTTACATAAATGAGACCCTTTAAAAGAGTCTTCACATCATTTTCGTCTTTCGATTTTTGTAACTCAATTAATTTGACTAAGAAATTATCAAACCTCTTTTTTTGCTTTTCTTCATTGGATGCAGCCACCTGTTCAGTTTTTTTTCGAGATTCTTCTTTAATTCTTAATTTTTCCTTTTGGCTAACTTCTTGTTCATCTTCATCCGCCTTATTTGATTTGTAAATTAAGTGTATAAGTTCGGGGCACTGTTCTGTTAGGATATCGTTGGCAGACTTCTGCGTCCTTGCGGCTTCTTCTTTTTCTGTGGGTTCCTTTTGACTCAGGAGCTCCAGATCAAGTCCATCATTCGTTAGCTTTGAAAAGTTGTCCAGTTCTTTTATTCTGTTTTCCACCAGTTCCTTTTTTTTTTTTTTATCCTTTACCAGTATTTTGTTTGTGTACATGCCTATGATGGATTCGATGTCGAAGGATTCTCCGTCGGGCGCGTTCGAAGCGTCCCCTCCATCAGTACCGCCTGTGTCTTCCTTTTTCTTTTTCTTCTTCTTTTTATTCTTCTCTGTCTCGGTGGTTGTGGTGGAGGAGCCGTTTTCATTTCCGTCCCCTGCGTTCACTTCATCCGCCGCTGCACCTTCTTCCCCCTCGTCCCACGTAATTGGTCCCACTTCCACGTACCTGGCGCTTTTGCCATACTTTTTCTTCCCTCGTTTTGTTCTATCCTGCTTAATGTGGTACTTGCAAAAGTGGCCATAGAGCGGGGTGTAAATGACAATTTTGCAGCTCTCCCCATTTCGCTTCCTTCCCTTACACCTTTCCAATTTATCGATTAAACCAATAACTTTTAATTTTGTTTTATCCAACACTTCTAACAACCTGGAGTTATAATACTGTGGATCCTTGTCCTTTACAACTGGGTTGACAAGGGCGATAACGGCTCCTTCTGTTTCCGCTTCAAATTGTTCACAAATTTCTCCCGTGAGGAAGATCCTGGATTGTGTGTTTTGCAAATCGGAAATGTCCCAGAAAATAAATTTTTCGTTATTGTACTTCCTGACTTGGTAAGGTATATTAACAATGGTGCAGATGATGACAATTTCTTCTTGTTCTTTTTTTTTCTTAATTTCGCTATCGTATTTCGATATATAGTCTGCGAAATTCATGATTGTTCTGTTTTGCAGAAAGCATTGGCAGTCTTCCTTATTCGTTTTCCATTCCTTTAGCTCCAGCTCTATTTCGTTCGCATTTAATTTGTTGCCATGTAGAACTTGAGGGGCTGGGGTGGCCGCATCTTCCTCACTGGCGAGCACTACAACTTCTTCGCTCTCATGCGTTTCTCCCTCTTTGATGTTATCCATTTGGATGATGCGGCCAAGTGGCAAAAATGGGATAAATGCAAAAGGAAGGAGGGACTGATCAACGAGTAGGCCGCGGGGACAATGTCCATATGTACGTCACTTTGGCTAGCATAAAAAAAAAAAAAAAAAAAAAAAAAAAGCTAGCTACACATATGCAGGCAAGGACAGAAGCGTGTCATTTTTTTGGCTGTTTTACGTATCATCATATTCGCACATTTTTTACCTCATTGTGGACAGCTTCTTAGCTAAAGCAGGTGTTAATTTTAAGAAGCATTTTTTTGTATTTGGTTTCTGTTGCTACAGATGGTTTTCACCCTTTTTTTTTTTTTTTTTTTTTGCGAATGTGCAAAATAGTCACGTAAAGACGCTGAGGGCAAGGAGGAGAAATCCTACTTGTGCTTTGTTCACGTCTGTCTTTTTGTTAAATATATTGGAACGGCATAAAAACAAAGCGTGGCGCTTCGGAGTTTGCGCAGTGGAGGAGATACATACCAACGCTGGTTAAACTACAAGGAATGGAAATCCCCGGCAACAATTTCTATACCAATGTGATACTGTTACGCACATAATGCATTTGCGATTTCGTTGAAAACGGGGATTATTTCGTATGTGTGTGTTGAAGGCGGGGGAGTGCTCCTTGAAGGTGGAAGTAATACCATCACATCAACGCTCTCGTAGAAGAAAACACTTATGTTTGTAAAAAATCGACTAGTTCATCAATTATTATTATGCTAAGTGGGAGCACACTCAATTAGTGTTGCGCACTGGATCAATCGTTGCCATAAAATGTAACCTCCAAAATATAAGAGCAAAGGAGCAAAATGAATATACACACCCCTTCCCTACTAAGGTTGCCTTATCGGTATGAGGTCGAGATGGCGTAGCACACAGTGCAAGAAAAAGGGGGATATCCCTTTCTCTATCATTTGAACATTTTTTTTTTTTTTTTTTTTTTTAAAGAAAAGCTTAAGTGCGTAGATAAAATGAGGTGTTTTTCTCTTTCCCCTGCCTCATGGAGAAAAGAAATAAATCCTTTGGTTCCAAAATTATTGGCAATTTCCGTAAGCGAAATGTTACGTATATTTCGAATGTTCATATTTTTCCCATCACCATGTAGTCACATGCTATTGGGGACGGGGTTCATTTGGTGAAATTTCCTCATCTCTTGGAGGCTGAGATTTGATCTCTTTCTAAGCTTGGTTACCCATTCGCAATCTATATGCGCAATGCGCGCGTTGAGAGATAAAATTTTCTGCCTGGGCACAACAAAAAAAAAAAAAAAAAAAA